CAGACCTGTGGTAGTCAAAGCCGTCAGGTAGTGGTGAAAAGGTGCACTTAAGTCAATGGAGCGGGATGGAAGACTCCAGAAAAAGGCGATATGAGCAAGGGACTATTGACGAAGATTCCTTGGAGAAAGGATCGTTTTTCACAAATGGTGTTATATCGACTCGATGTCTGTATGAAAAAGTAAATTAACATCGACCCCTTCCTCATGTCATACACGAAAAATTAACTCAAAATGGATCACAGACTTAGATGTGATACCTAAAACTATAACACTTCTAGAAGAATCCATAACAGAAAAACTTCTGTGAACGTAGAATTAGCCGATGGTGTCTTAGAACACAAAAAGCACAGACCATAAGACAAATAATGAATTAAGCGGAAAATTAAAGACCCGTTTCTTCAAAATACACCATTAAGGAAAACAAAAATGCCAGCCACAGGAGAAAATATTCACAACACCTACATTCAATGAAAGACTGTATCCAGAATACGTCTGAGGAACTCTTAAACCTCAAGAGTGTTGCTGGACAAAGCGTTCTTAGAAATGACACCAAAAGCAAGATCTATAGAGAAAAAAGCTGATGAATCTGACTTCATTAAAACGCAAAACTTCTGCTCTTTGAAAGACACTGTCAAGAAAATTAAAAGAAGAGCCACAGACTGGGAAAAGGTATTTTTTTCAAAATACATATTTGATGAAGGAATTTTATCCAGAATGTATAAAGAACCCTCGTAACTCAGTTATAAGAAAACAAACAACACAACTAAAAACTGGCAGAAGATTTGAAAAGACACCTCGCCAAACAAGGTGGCAAATAAGCATATGGTGCCGTCGATCATGGGAAAAATGTAAACAGAGACCACAACGGGATGTAAAGAGACACAACAGTTGAGGATACTTGGGATCATCTGTAAGCCGGGAAATGCAGGTTTAAAGCACCGTGAGCTACCGCGGCGCACCTGTTAGAATGGCTAACATCGAAAAGGCTGATCATACCAAGTGCTGATGCAGACGGTGGCGGGGGCGGCGGGGGCGAGGGGGACTGGAACTCTCTGCGCTGCCGGTGGGAGTCACATGATCAAACCACTTCGGAAAACGGGGTGGCCGTTTTTTAAAAGGTAAACGCACACCTGCCCTATGTCCGCACATACAAGATTTTTACACGAATGTTTGCAGCGGCTTCATTTGTAATAGCTAAGGACTGAAAGTGACCCGGCGGTCACTGGCAGATGAATGGATAGACAAATTGTGGGCTACACACACCACGGCGTAAAAACGAATGAACAATTGCTACATGCGAGGATGCGGACACGTCGCCAAATCGCCACGCGTGTGGAGAAGCCAGGCAAAAATAAAGACTTTATACTGCGCGATTCTGTTTATGTGACATTCTAGGAAGGACGAACTAATCCGCAGTGACAGGAAGCAGAGAAGTCGTTTCTAGGGGAGGGGTTGCGGGGAGGGATGGATTACAAAGGGACACGGGGCAACGTTCGGGGGCGATGGCTTTGCTTACTACCTCGATGGTTTCACCGGGGTCTACATACAGTTCATTGTACCTCAAATCTACTTCAGTGAAGTTGTAAAAAATACCAATATTCGACTCGCTATTATTATTAAATTGCTAACGATGGGGCAATATTTTAACATTGCGACAATCTATATGCTACCATGCCATTAAGCTATCATAAAACATTTTATAAAAGTATAAATTCACCAAAGAAAGAGCTCACACCACGATGCTGAATTGGAGAAAGTAGGACGTAAAACTGTATGAAACGTGATGTCAATACGGTTTTACATGGAATGTAGCATTATAGATATTTTATAATAAATATGTCACGTAAGTAGAAAACTGTGCCCAAATCATAATAATGATCATCTTTAGACGGCATGATTATAGTTCATTTTTATCTTGTGCTTCATTTTATAAATTTTCTAAAAGGAATAACACATCATCTTGCTCATCAGAAACAATAAGCTCATTTTCTAGACACATGTCTTTTTAAACAAGTCTGTATTCATTTTTATGTTGTAAAACCAATAAGGATAATTTTTTTTAAAAAAGAAAGAAAAAAGTAAGGTAAAAATAACCAGTGATCATCACGTTTGCCACTTAACGGAGGCTTCCTCTGTGCCAGGAGCTCTGCTAATGGCTTTAAAAACTTTCATAGACCAACCTTACGAGGGAGATATTGTCGATCCCATTTTGTGGGTAAGGAGCCTGAGGTCCGGAACGTTTGTCCCGTTTCATAGACAGTAAGCGGCAGAGCAGGGCTGGACAGCCAGATGGGGCTGGTCCACCGCTCAGGCGCCCGGCCCCCGTGTGCGTGACGTCCAGAGACAACAGCAGTAACTTAAAAACCGAAAAGGAAGATACGGAAGAAAACAAAACTCAATTTTTTAAAAAAGTGTCTCTGAAAGGATGGCCCTGAAAACTGCCTGCTCCTCCCTTCTGCCCCATGCTCCTGGCTCAGAAGGTGTCCGTGGTCAGGCTCTGTCTCCCGGTCCCAATTTTCAGCCCGGCATGTACTTGCCTTGGAGCAGCTTCCTGTTGCTGCTGTAACAAGTTCCCGCACCGCGTGGGCTTGAAACGGGAGACACTCATCGTCTCACAGGTCCAGAGACAGAAGGTCTGATATCCAGGTGTAGGCAGGGTGGGGCTCGCGCCGAAGGTCCAGGAGGGTCCTGCCGGCCTCCTCCCAGCTTCTGGGGGTCGCCGGCCATCCTTGGCTCGTAGATATGTCACTCAGATCTCTGCCTCCGTCTTTGTGTGGCCGTCCTCCCTCTGCGTGTGGGCGTTTGTGTCTCTGTCCCTTCTTATAAGGATGCCGGTCATGGAGCCATCGGGTCAGGGCCCGCCCACAGCCAGCCAATCACACCTGTGCAGACCTCATTTCCATGTAAGGCCGCACGCTGCGCTTCCAGGGGGCACGGATTCGAGGGACGTTACTGAACCTAGTGCGCCCTTCTCCACGGCCCCACTATTTCCTCCGCAAAAGGGACAGTTCGCTTCCTTCCCACCTAGAAGGTCCCCTCTCCGGGCGCTTGTTCCCTGGGTCCCGCCGTCCGGTCCCACTGCCCGCTCTGCCTCTCTCTGCCCTTCTTTCCTCTCCAAGGCCCTGCTGCGACACCCCTCCCTCTGCGCTGTGTTCCCTCGGACCTTTGACAGGGCCCTAGGCAGAGTGTCTGCCATGTCGCAGGTAGCCAACGATGTGTGATGGTTTTTCTTTATTTCTTGGAAATTCCTCAGAGATATATCATCCTCTTTCGTGTGTTTGCTTTTGACTTTGTTCGAAGTCACTTGCCGTTGCCCAAACCGAAGCCATCACAAGAACCTAAAATGCTAGGCCTTTACAAACATCCCTGTGAATGCAGACACAAAATTCTCAGCAAAGTACTAGCAAGCCAAACCTAACAACAGATCAAAAGGATTGCGAATCATGACCAAATGGGGTTGATGCCAGGAATGCAAGGGTGGTTCAACATATCCAGATCAATCGATGTAACACAGCAGATTCATAGAATAAAGGATGAAAACCACAGAATCATCTCGGTAGCTGCAGAAAAAACATTTGACGAAAATCCAACGCCTTTTCACGATGCAAACACGTATCAAACTAAACACAGAAGAGAATTTCCTCCAACTGATCCCGGGCATCTCGGAAAAGCCCACGGCTAACGTCTCACTCAACGGCCAAGGACCGAAATGTTCTTCCCTAAGGTCGGGAACGAGACAGGATGTCCCCTCTCTCCACCTCTGTTCGGCATGGATCTGGAGGACCTGCTCAGGGCAGCTGGGCACGAAAAGAGAGAAAAGGCACCCGGACTGGAAAGGAAGTAAAACCCTCTCTATTTGCAGGTGACATGATCTTACATGTAGAATATCCTTCCGAATTCATAGCCACACATAAGAAGCCTATTAGAACTAATGTATGAATTCAGAAAAGTTGCAGCATATGAGATTAATATACTAAAATGAATGGCTTTTCTACGCATTAGTAATGAACGATCCAAAAACTGAATGAAGAAAACCTTTCCATTTAACACACACACAAAACCACGAAAACATTATTGAAACAAATGAGAGAAGACCTAAATAAATGGAAAGTCACCCGTGCTCATGGATTGGAAGACTTAATATCGTTAAGATGTCAATACCCTTCCCCGAATCGATCCATAGATCCAACACGATCCCTAGCAAAATCCTAGCTGCGTTTTTTGCAGGTATTGACAAGCCGATCCTAAAATACGGAAATGCAAAGGGCCCAGAACAGCCAAAACAACATTGAAAAAGAAGAACAAAGTTGGATTTCAAGACTTCAATTTCAAAGCTCGTTACGAAGCCACCGCACTCAAGACTGTGGGTGCTGCCTTAGGAGAGATACATCGATCGGGGGAACAGAGACGAGACTTTAGAAATGCGTTCACGGCACCTGGTTTGCACGGTGATGCGAATATGCTTAACGCCACCGGACTGTACACTTAGAAGGGTTAAGACGGCAGATTTTACATTCTGTTTTATAATAATAACAATACACGACGGCTTACTCAGTTTCTTCCGGCCCAAGGTGTGTTTCCTCTTTGTTCCTATTTCTCCTGGGTACGACGCCATGCAGGGCTGGCCAGCCCAGCGGCCCATGAGACGGCCACTGCACGGCCCGCACCCACTTTTCAGGTGTGGAAACTGAGCCACGGAGAGGCCCAGCCCTGGCCAGAGTCCACGCTGTGCCACGGCCAGGACACTAAGCCCTTTGCAGCAGGGAACACGTCTCTGCCCACAATGGCATTCCACGCGTGAGGCTTAGTCTCACGCAGGGCTTTCAAACGCTGGCAGTCGGACAAGCAGCCGACTGAAAATATGGGAAGAAGCGTTTGAAAGAGAGAAGGATTCGGGGAGACAGGTCACAGAGGCCCCCGCGCGCGTGAGTGTTTAAACGTCTGAAACGGATGGGCGCCTCAGGCATGTGCGGGGTGTGCCCACACCCCCCAGCCGCGGGCAGGCCCCGCAGGAAGCCCCCCCTCTGCTGGCGTGAAGCCAGAAAGAGCTGGCCCCTCGTCCAGCCTGTGTGGTCCTGGCCCAGCCACCTGCGTCTGCTGGGCCTCGGCGTCTTCATCTGTAAGACGGGGGATGGCAGGGGAAATGTGCGGGCACCGGCCTGAGGGGTCAGACCGCTTGCCAGGGGCAGCTTGCTGGTCCGGCAACTGTCCTTGGCTCCTGGCGGGGCAGCCCCGGGCAGGGCGTCCTCGGCCGTCCGACTCGCCCCAGCCCTAGGTCTTGGCACGTGTGTCACCTCCCCTGCCCCACTCTGGCTGAGCCCTTGGTGAGTGAGGGGTGGGGAGGACAAGGGACTTTAGGGAGAGACCATCGGGTCCCATGCTCCCTGCACCCTGGCCCAGCAGGGCCTGGGTTGGGGCGGGCGGCTACACTAGGGAGGAGAGGACGGCGGGGAGGGTCTGGCGTGAAGCCACTGGCCTCTGACTCCACCGACAGAGACCCCACCTGCCCTGACCGTCACCGCCCTCGCGGACCCCTTTCCCGCATCCGTGCCAGCCCCAGACACATGCCGGCCGCCCCTCGCCCCAGCATGGCGTCTGAGCCGGCTTTGTACTCTTGCCCCACGAGGGACGGATGACAAAAGAAGTCACTCTCTGCAGCTTAATTTCGCCGCCTGTGAAAGGAGGTGACAGTGGCCGCCCTCTGATCTCCGAGACCCATCAGGCTCTCGAATTCCAGCAGTTTCTAAACTGCACCCTAAGCGGACCGGTCCAGGCGGAAACGAAGGCCCGGCCGCGGTGACGGACGCCACGCACGCGCGCGGCCGCGTCGGCTCAGGCCCCCGCGGGCTGGACTCCGCCTGATTCCCGCTGACCACAGAGGCTGGGCCGGCCGGGGCGGGCTGGCAGGGCGGGCTGGGCGGAGCACCCGGAGCACCGTCAATCAATGTCACTTCCCGGATGGTCGGCCAGGGCAGTGGACCTGGGCGGTGGCGGCCACTTCTGCAGCCGCTGTGGGGCTTTTCCAGCTCTTGGGGACCTCGAAGGGCGGCCATCCGGGCAGAGTCCGTTATTCCAGCCCCTAAAACTCACGGTGGCCGAGCTGGGGAGTGTCACCGGCTCACACCTAAGGCCAGCCTGGCTTTGTCATCCAGAGGGAGGCGCGGCCGCGGGCGGGGACAGACGGGCAGGGCAGGGCGTAAATCACAGACAGCTCCGCCCGGGCGCCCGAGCCGCCCAGCCAGGGGACAGCGCCTGACCGTGCGCGACCCCGCGGGAGCTAATGACCAGAGGTGCAGACCACGGGACGAGAGGCCAGGCACAGCACTCGGGTTTATTACCCACGCCCCTTAGGCAAAGGTGACCAGCCGCCGGGCCGCCCCGCCATGCGGGTGGCGCTGTGGCGCGGGAGAGCGGGCCGGGGATTTCGGACGCGGACGCGGACGCGGACGCACCATCCTCCGCCGGCTGTTTTCACTTTCGATTTTTTTCTGAGTCGAACAGAACAACATGGTCAGATTTCTAAGCAAAATTAAGAGCAATTTTATTTAAACAGCCCAAATGCTTTCACGGAGCCCCCGAGCTGCCACGCGGGTAGCTGGGGCCGCGGGGCTCCCGCCCACCGCAATTATGCGGCATCCTGCGTCGTGGCCTGGGGACGCTGATGGCAGGAATGGTTTGTTTTGCTTTTTCCCTGAAGGCATTTGCTGGCTGCTTGGAGGCTAAGGGAGGCTGGGCACATCTAATAAATAAAGCGAAATAATTAACAGCGCCTGCAGCCTGGAGACCAAGCCCAGCTCCTCCGAACCGGGCTTCTGAGAACTCGGCTTCTGAGAAGCGGAGTGCTCTCCTCCACGCCCCCACCCCCCGCTGGAAATCCCTCGCTGAGGGGACAACAGCAAGGAGAGCTTTCTGGCCTCGAAAAGGACGAAAAGCTGAGTCACTTGCTTCCTGCCCCCTGCCCCCAGGTGTTGGAAGAGTCCCACGTGGATGAAAAATGGGATATTTCTAAACCGAAGTGCTCCCATCAGCCGCATGTGCTCCGCCCATTGGTGGTGTCACTGGGAGGTTTCCCACGACCGACTGATAATGCGGAGGGTCCCGAGTTATGTCATCCTCGGGTCCCTGACAGAGGCGAGTCCCCCATGAGCCACCACGGCAGCTCCCCTGGCCGAGAATACCAGAGGCCACATGCTCCCAACGCCCCACCGAGACTAAGAACTTGGCTGTCCCCAGGGTGGGGCCCAGCTCAGCGTGCCAACCTCTCAGGCGACCCTTATAAAGGAAAGCTACGACCCCGACTCCAACCCAAACTGACCCCAGGAAGGTGGGGGAGGGAGGACGGGCAGGAGAGGGTGCACCGGGGTGAGGAAGCATTTCTGAGTCGTTTCCGGGAGACCAGACATCCCATTGTCCCCTAGGTACTGTTGGGGACAGAAGGAAGTTCGGCTGTCTTGCGGGTCAGGTTGGCCTCGTGCGGTTTTCCTGCACAAACGCCCAGAGCAGGCGATCAGCCCTGAACCGTCACCCTACCGTCCGCTGGGCCCCGAATCACCCCTGTTACCAGGAGTGGGAGGGGACCCTGTCTTCCACGTTCAGAAACTTCTCACGCCCACCGAGAAGCCCCCCAGACGACAGGACTGGCAGAGGCAACCGGACGAAGTGTGGGGTAGCTCAGTCACTCAGAAGCGGGTCGCTCGGGGCAGACTCGGGGGTTCACTGCTGGCCGGGACCCCTGCTGTGGGCGGTGGGCTCCGGTGCCAGAGCCTGGGCTGACGAGGCCCAGGTCGCTGTGTGGGACCCTGCGGGTTCAGTATGGCCAAATCCAGGAGAGCGTCAGGTTCGCAGGACCCCGCTGCGGGCACCGCCCTCCCTGGACCCTCCCTGGACCCTCGCCTCCGGCGTGGGGGGCAGAGTGTGGTTCTGGGGACCCGCGGTGCCCGCCCGGCCCCGGGCTCTGCAGAAACAGATTCACACCACCCAGTCTGGTGGTTTCCCAGCTTCTCCGGTGACGTTCCCCTAGGCAATTTAAAAACGGAATGAATACTAATAATAATTTGACTAAATTTAGGTGTTCCCTTAGGCACCTGATTAAATTTCATGAACTCTCTTTCAGCCCAAATTCGCCTTCTCTCTCGGCGTCACAGTAAGGAATTCTTGGCTGCCATGTGGGTCTGTGAACTCCGCCGGCCAGGCTGAGACCTCCCCTCCCAGAGTGACGAGGCGATGGGAAGAGGCTCTCGGGGGGCGGGCGGGGCGTCTGCAGTGACGGCGACGCGGGTCGAGTGACCGAGGTCTGTCCGGAGGGGCAGCCTGTGCTCATAGAACCGCCCTCAAGACGGAAGGGCCATTCGCTGGTTTTCCCAGCGAGGACACTGAGGCACAGGGAGTGACGGGGCCAGCAGAGAAGGGTGCTGGGAGGAAGGGCGGTGGAAGCCAGAACCTTCTGGAATCTCAGCTCTGGGCTCCTTCCCGTTTGCAGCCAGTCCAGCTCCTGTGAATGGCTTCGGGGGTCCCTGTAGCAGAGACGGCCGGCCGCGACCAGCTCTCCCAAATACACCGTCCAGGACGCTCGGAATGACTTCGCGTGACCCTCTGAACCTGTGCTCGTCACCCTCGGCCTGGAGTGGGAGCCGTTAGCGACGTGGGACCCCCACCCAGAGCTGACCCAGAGCTGCTGCTGCTGTCGATGGGAGGGGTCAGCGACTGGCCTGGTCGCTCCCTACCGCCCCCCACCAAGTACTGCGAATAGTAAAGATAATGAATAATAAAATCTCTGCATGCTTTGGTCTCCATCTGTATTCATGGACGTTCGCGCGGATTTGCATTTCCTGCCGTATCCCATGAGTGATGTCGGAACAGAACTTGCTTCGATTCCTTCCCTCTCTGCCTACGAGCCCCCTCCACGCTTGTCTCTTTGTCCCCTGGGCTTGGCTCCAGATTGACACACAGCATCCTCTGGCACTGAGTCATTGCTCGGTGTGGCTCGGGGCACTCAAGGCAAACCAGGATGGGGACACTGTCGACAGGATGTCGTGGAGCAAGGTGGCTGTTTGTCAACGCGGGAGGATGGGCTCAGGGAGGCTGTGCTTCCGGGCCGCTCCTCAGGGCGCCAGGCCGTCCTTGGCGAGCCTGACTCGGTGCCCCGCTCCAACGCTCGCCGCCGGCCCAGACCGTCCTCGGAGCTGGTACAAGGGACGGAGACGCCCGGGTGTCGCGGGGCGGCAGATGCCAGGGAGATGGTGCACCCCCCTGCCTCCCGGTCTCCGTAAACACGACTGCGACGGGGCGGTCCTGGAGGGGGCTTTGGGGAACCTCGGAGGGGCCGACACCTTTCCCTCTTTCTCAAAAAATCACAAAGACCCCAGGAAGTAAATGGGCCAATGAGACACACTCACAAAAGAAGAAACAAAGTGAATAAACACACAGAAATACTCTCAAAATCTTCGTCATACAGAAATGCAAAGGAACGTGGCTTCCGTCGTGTGTCAGCAGCGGTTTGTTTCCAGAAGGGTGACAGCCAACAGCGGGAGGCACCCTACACGCGACAGGCACCCCCTCGCGCCCCAGGCAGCGCGGACGCTCAGGTGTCCACCCTCCCATCGACTCATCTTCGGCTGGAAGAGGAACCGCTTGTCACAAGTCCAGACACTCGGAAGTCCGTAAATTTACGAAACTGTGCAGCCTGCCACTTTCCACCAGCGTCAGCCCAGACTCTGTCCTGCTCCCTCAGGCAAGTCCCGGGGACAGTGGGCCACCGGGCACTCCGGGGGCGGCGCACGTGCGTACGCGTGCGTTAACGCAAAAAGAGGGTCTGAGGATCCCGCCGTCGCGGCCCGGTCACGGCTGGGTGTCCTCAGTTACCCTGTGTCCCGGCTTGGGCCGGGTCAGCCACGCCTTCGTAAAGGCTGCTTCGGGTTCCGTGGATTTATTTAAACATTCTCTACAGACGGAGACTTGGGATAGTTCCCGTTTTAATTTTTCTGTAACAGAGCATCGCACTGAACTTCGGCGTGTGTGCGTGTGTGCGTGTGTGCACACACAGTACGCACAAGCCTCCGTGCACGCACAAAATCATACATTGAAACAGCACGCGTGGCTACGTGGAGCCTCTGTGTGTGCATGCACGCTCACGTATATTTGTACCTTCGTGCACATCTGTGAATCTGTCCATAACCAAAGCTCAAACCTTTAAAGCGCTAATGGCAGGATGCCCCCCAAATCAAAGCGCTCCCCTCTTTGATCCTGTTTCTGGGAACTGAGTGGAGGAGTAATCTCATTTGGGCACAAGCACCGAGCACAGATGTGTTTCTCACGGGACATCTTAAATGACCAATTGTCCCTGAGGTGCCCGGGTCCACGGAGAACGTCATGTCTACCCCACGGGATCTCACGCGGGCGTTAAAGATGACGCCATTAAGACAATAGCCTGGGAAGAACTCACGATCGCATGTGAGTTAACAATAGTGGACAGAACTCACGCGGGCCTGGTGGGCAGGCATGTAAGCTGGCTCAAGGCCCATGCAGAACAATTGGTGCACCTCACGAAGTTGAGCTCACGTGCACCCAGGTGTGCCCCCGCCCCGGGAAATTTGCTCCCCTGCACCAAACAGTCGTCACGGGGGCACTGCTCATAGAGAAGGACCCCCCGAAACCAGTCGAATGGCAATCGACAAGAACAGCGCGGCTCGGCGGTCCGAGCGAGTGAGCCACGGCGTCTGAGACACGCACGGCTGGCCCGCGGAAGACGGCGAAGGACGGTGACACTTTTGGAAAACTCACAGGCGGGCAAAACTAACGGAGGCCTCGCTGGGAAATGCGCACACGTGTGGACAGCCTGCTGTAGGAGCGAGGAGATGATGCGCGCGGCCTTCCAGAAGGCGCTTCCTTCCGGCACCCGGGTTTCGGGATGAGACGGGTGTGGGGGGCGGGGCTCGGCCGGTCCCCCTCACGCACCGAGCCACGGATTGGGGTTCGTGCTCTTGTTATGCTGCCTGGTTGACACGCGTTCCATGTGCTTTCGCAAGGATCGAATGTAACAAAATTTAAAATTAACTTTTTAAAAACCACGAAACCGAACTTTACAGATAGCGCGTCTGCCGCTCCATAGAGTAACTGAGGCGTCGGAGACCAAAGCGAAAATAAACGGGAACGCAAGGCCGGGGGGATGCGACGGGATGGCGACCGAGGCGCCCCGGGTCCGGGCGCAGGCAGGACGGCACCCCCGTCTTTTCTGTCTCCTCCTTATTTCCAAAAATGTCTTTGGTAAGCAGGTTTTACTTTTATAATTGGAAAAGAAAAACAAAATCCCCCAAATCATTAAAAACATCAAAGGAAAAACAAACAAAGAAACCAAGACAAAGCCAAAACCTACCCTCGCTCTATAAACAAAAAACAACCAAACCAGTTTCAACAGGGAAATAAAACCAGTGGGCCAGATGGCCACACCTGTGTCAGTACTTAGAGCAGAAAACCGGCAGCTCCGCCGCCTCC